GTAGCAGTACCAGTTCTTCGGACACCAGAGGCAGTAGTCCAGTTAACAATCACAACAGCAAGCTCGATGGCCTTAGGACCAACGAACCTCGGGGAACTAGCAATGGAATAGAGCCTAGGCTTAGTGCAAGGGATGAGAGTGATCAACTGATCAAGAGAAGGACGAGCACTGGTGTACTTATTGAGGATATCAGCGAAGGTCACAGTCTCACCAGCCAGCTTGGTGTACATATCACGACCCTTGGTATCATCGGGGTTGCCGATCAACGCCAGCTCGGCCTTTTCCTTGGGATCCTCAGCGAACTTGGACAGAGTCTTGTAGAAAGCCCTGTTGGGGCGACCGAAGATGTCCAAAGACTCCTCGAAGAGCTGGGAGATAGTACGGGGACGGAGAGAAGCAGCGCGCTTGCGGGCATCGATGTTCTCGGATACAGGAGTGATCTTAACCATCTCCGAGGGGTTGAGACCATAAGACTGAAGGAAAGCACTAACTCTGCCAGCCTCGTTCATGGGGTGGATGTTGAGGACATCACCAAGAAGATAGGGAAGATCCTGACCATCCTCCAATTCGAAGCGCAAATGACGAATATCCCTCTCGTAGTCGCTGGGAGTGAGACGATCGTTCTTCTTCAAACCAAGCTGAATAGTTTGAGGAGGCATGATCCTCTCATAAGGAGCAACCACGACTTCATCAGAGTCAAGCTCACGAACCTCGAACTGAGAGTCGGGAATGGACCCGTCATCAACAGGCTCAGGGGCATTCACAGACTTCCAATAACTCGGCATCCAATCCTCAAAGGCAGTCTCATACTTGTCCTCATCCTGATCGTTACCGAGACCAATGGCAACTGTCCTTTGACCGCCCATCTGAGCGAAGATATCGTCAATTCTCTTGGCAGCAGTGCAGAAGTGATGATAACTGGAGTCACCCAAGCAAAGACACCGTATTGGACACCGTCCACAGATGAGCATTGGAGTTGTCCTTAGCAGCAAGCTGCCACTGCGCAGTGAAGTGAAGGGCAGTCCTAGGAGTGGTCCCTCACCAGTAGTAGCGCAAA